GGCGCCAGTACTATGAGTCCACCTGTAAGCCGCTCATCCGACGGCTTCCAGCGTTGACAACACATCGAGGCCGTAAGCTGCATAGTGTCCTGTACCATGCACCCAGTGTCATGTCGGAACTCATACCTGCTTATTATACTATGTTATCCTACTATTATGTCTACTATCATAATATTATCTTTACTTCTAAGTATAATATGAAGTATAGTTTTCAGAGGTCAAGTATAATAGTAACTTTACCATCGTACTTTCCAGAGGAAAATCTTGCATTCTAATTGGCTCTAGAAATCTGAACTTTATGATTAGATTTATGAAAGCTTTTTCTCTCTCTGCCATGGCAAATGTGAGGTCCAGTGAGGGAATCATGTGACCTCCCTGTTTAATGAATGTCTCACTTTTTTTTTGCACGAACATTGTGAAAATAGCTTCATTCAAAATGTTCCTCAAGATATCCAAGTTGCGTTCGACCTCGTTCGTGCCCTTGTACCATCACAGTAAGCAGCAGTTATCGATCTTTATTCTACAAAAGCCAAAACCCATCCTATTTACTCGTTACTATGGATTCCTCTCAGCTTACTGTCAATACTCTGACTCAATCAATTGCTCCTCCTTCGAGTGCTCTTCCTTCAAGTGCTGCTCCGTCTCAAAGTAGTGAGTATGCTACTCCTGCTCCGTCCTTCTACTTGATTTCGATATAACTCCATTCTTTCGTAAGGTTTATCCAGAGCGACCTAAACTAGGCCCTTCTGGTAAACGAAAAGCTACAGGGAATGCTGTATATCAATGCCTCCATTGTCCTCCAGATAAGCCATGGGAAAGCAGACAGAAATCTAACGCTCAAAATCACGCTCGGAAGGTCCATCCCAATATCGTTGTAGCCTCCCGCAGGAACATCAGTGTGGATTCCAATTCGGAGANCATCGATCAACCTTTCAAGAAGCCCCGGATTGACCACTTTTACGCCCTTCAAGCTTCCGAATCCTCTCTCCGCCGCGCATTTGATCGGCAGCGATATATCCAGGCCTGGGTATGCCTTCTAACTAGGAGGCGCCTTCCGTTCTCCTCAGTCACATGGGACGAGATGTCGGAATTGATCCTAGCAAGTAATCCAGCTGTGGAGGATCTATTGCTCACTTTTCGGCATGCTGCAATGCGACATATATCTGCGAATTTCGATCTATATCGAACTAAGCTCCGGACTTTACTTGAGAGCTCTTTCTCAGTCGTGCACATCTCATCTGACCTATGGACTAACCCTCATAGGCATGGTATTCTAGCCCTCTGTGCTAGATGGATTGATGCCGATTTGATACCTAGAAGAGCACTGCTAGGGATGTGTCAGATTGCACCGTGCGAGTGTTGAATAACACTGTGCCCGGTCACCAACCGTAGGGCTTAGAACAACAAAGATTGGATGCCCTTAAAATGATGGATAAGGCCGTCTTCATTGATTGAACAAGAAAGTCTCGGTGTAATTGCTAATTGTCATCATAACTGTTGTGAATGGGCAAAGATAGCAGAAAAACGCCATTCTGAGGGGTAAAGGCTCGGAC